AAGCAGTACTGGCTGCCTGGAGGCCGTGAGATGGGACAGACTATCTTGAAATTGGAAAAAGCGGAGGTGATACGCCCTGCACAGCGTCCTTCTGTCTGGCCCTTGAAGAAGCCAGAGGGGTTATAGCAAATGACTGTGAAATCTCACCCTGATGCTGGCAGTCAGGACCAATTTGCCCTCACCTGAGAGGCTGGGCAGTGGACCTTCCAAGTGTTACCACAAGGCTGTTTGCATAGCCCAACTTTGTGCCATGGCCCGGTGGCCCAGGACCTGACCACCTGGGCCAAGCCACACTCTCTGTCACTGTTTTGTACTGAAGTTATGCTAACCTCTGATTGCCTTGCAGATTTGAAAGTCACTGTGCACAGTCTGAAGGAAGCTTTGCTGGCCTCGGGGTGGGCCATGGACAAGACGAGGTCCAGGGACCGGGCTTGTCTGTCAAATTCTTGGGTGCTATACGGGCAGGTAAGGCCAGACCCATGACAGTAGCCAATAACAGGCCTATGCAGGCTGGCTAGGCTTCTGGCGGATGTACCACACCTAGCTACCCTGCTGTGCCCTTTATAACAGGTGACCAAAAAGGGCACAACCTGCGGCTGCACAGATGCAGCGGAAGCTGCTTGCCGGACTCAAACAGGGCTGTTGCACACATGGAAGCCCTACGAGTCACTGGCCCTGCCCTACATTTATCGTAGCTGTCAGTGGATGACGATGGATTTGCTGGGACCTGTGGCACAAAGAGGGGAAGTGGAAGTGCCCAGCTGGGTTTTGGGCATAGTTGTGGAAGGCAGCTGAGAGCCGGTGTTCCGAGACAGAGAAACAGCAGCGCTGTATGCTGCCCGGCGTGCCTGTGAAAGCATCACAGGACAACAGACAGTGGAAGTCCAGATAAAATACCCTATGGAGGGCTGGGTACAGGCGTGGACAGCCTGTCCCAGGAGTGGAGTGGAATGGGCCCCACTCTCACATGTTGGGGGACATACCTCCAACAGTGGGCCTCTCTATTGGCTAGCCTGTGGCATATGAACTGGCAACGGTTTATGGACCATGATACACATGGCCCAGGAACCCGTCCAGGAGGACAGACATGAGGGCATGACCTCTAGTTCCAATACAAAAGGGAACGAGGCACCCGCAGCCAACACCAGATGAACTGATGGGTCCAGTGTGACTTGACAGCATGGACAGCAGTCACCGTCTAGCCCGGGACAGAAGTCCTCTGGTTTGAAACCGGAGCAGGCAGGTCAAGCCAATGGGCAGAGTTGCAGATAGTGTGATTGCTTGTGATGTGTAAAAAAGACCCCTTACATGTGTACATGGAGAGTTGGGCCGTCTTGAGGGGCCTGATGTTCTGGCTGCCAGCTTGGGCAGCTCAGAACTGATAGCCAGGACACTGTGCTGTGTGGGGTGCTGACCCCTGGTGAGACGTACGGGAGCACGGCCAAAAAGCCGACTGTGCAGAGTACCAGGGTTCAGGGCATGAGCCCCTCCTCCCAATGGGAAACCACTTAACAGATGCTTTGACCAGGCATGGCAATGGTGGACCCCTAGGAATAGCATCTGACCAGGGCAAGGACCATAGTCTCAGCCCTCCAGGTTGAAGCCCTTGCGCAACGTGTGGCCCAGGCCCTGAATGTTTGCACCAGGCTTTGATGTTGCTTATGGATGAAACTGTTTGAATGAAGACAGTGTTTTTGCAAAACCACATGGTTCTTGATTTGTTAACTATAGGTACTTGTGCCCTGTTACATATAGAATGTTACAGTTATACACCTCTGATCTTTGAGGGTGTGGGGTGTGGGGAACCACTGAGACTGCTTCAAAGCTCAGGGGGTCTAAGCACTCTGAGGACGTGACCCCACTTGTCTGGCACAGTGGGATGCAGTTATGTAACCATGACTTAGCACAGGTCAACACCCATGCGTTGGTTATTGCACTATATAAAAATGTAAATGTGAGATAACCTGTGTAAGAATCACACAATACAGGTGCGGGCGGCTCTTGCTCTGGCTCTCTGCTCTGCTCCACGCTGCCTGCTGTTGTGGCTGATGTCTTGCACATGTGTGTTCTTTAACCTTGTGACCTCACCCTCAAGAATCTCCCCTGGGCCCCTGAGTGGACTGACACATGCTTCCTGTGGAGGAGAAAGCATGGCAAACAGGGATTTAGATAAACTACCAAGATCCTGCGAGCTGTAGCCCTAGCAAGATCATGCACATTATGGTTCTAATAAGAACCAGGTCTCAATACAGTGCCCTTGTAAGCTGTTGTGGATCAGGGCTCACCGGTGGCTCTACTTATCTGCACCCGGAGGAGCAGCAGGGTTTCGCTTTTTGAAGAGGAGCTTCTGGTCTTCCAGAGGTTCACAGGAGTCGCTTTCTTCTTTCGGTGGTGTTTTTCCCCAGACAGTCCAGGTGGGGCTAGTTTTAATCCCGCTCTCTATCTCTGCCACCTTTACTGCAGTTGGTGTGGCAAGGATCACTGGGCAGGCGCCCTTCCACTTTGGTTTTAAGATAGAAAAGCCCACCCGTGGAACTTCTCAAATGGACTGTTCAGACTAGTTTTGGAGGTGTTTTGAATCCTCATAAGGGATATTGACAATAATTGGAACCAAGATCAGAAGTCTGTAGGCAAAATTTTGTCAGAGTTCACTTTTGGGTCTGGTTGGCTCTCTTGACCTTTCTAGAGGATTTAGGTCTCTATGCAGAGTGGAGATAGTACTTTATTCTTAAAGCCTTTGCCAGAATTAGAGAACTTCCCCTATGTTTACTAATAAATCTCTTCCCAGTAAGGGAGTAGGACACTGTGGGACAGTTAAAAACTCATGGTTGAACATTTGACCTTCAATTGACAGGTCAGAGCAGGTGTAAAGAAGCTCTGACTAGGGGTCTCCTTGGTCCTGCCTGATTGGCCTTGGGTTTCCCACGGAAAACTCTGGCCTGCCTTTTTTTCTCAGCCTTTCTCCTTTGATCTTCATCTAGATCCCAGTTGTTGAGCACAGGAAAGGCTGTGTCCAGCAACTGGGTCATAAGGGCTTGGGATACAGCAAGTGGCCAAGACAAAATGGGCGTCCCACCATGACAGGTCAAAAGCAAGGGTGAAAGTTTGGAAGCCATTTGTAAACCTGCCAGGATCTTCTGAAAACTGGCCTCCCTATTCTTTACATTGTTGGGTATCTCAGACAGATATTTTAATGGTTGAAGCTGTAATATATGTACTTAGTACTTTGTAAACTACTGAGGGTTAAGAATTTTTGCTTTTCCTTTTTGTTACTTTAAAAAAACATTTAAATATTTGATTTATTATATATTATTGAAAGATTATGATTCAAAATTTAAATGGTAAGAAAGGATATATATGGACAAATTTCTCTTTCCTTCCCAGGCACATCAAATAGAAATTGCACTGGACACTTGTTAAAAATGGCAAGACAGATTTTACTCAAGCTATAGAGGAGAGAGACTAGTTTACAGTTGAACTCAACTCTGAATACAGGAGGGGCAGCTGGGAGGCAGCCAGTGGACAGAGGAGGGCTGAGGGGATTACCAAAAGGGACTTGCTTTCATTTCAAGAATGGGAGATCTGTACCATTATTGTGGGTTTAATAATTAAGACATTTTCAACCTGTTGTGAGAAGCCTAATGATGCATTCCGGGGGTGCTGGTTCTGGAGGGGACTGTGCTTTTACCAGCTCCATCTCAGGCCTGTTTGCCTGGTATGTGCAGCATGATAAAAAAACAGAAATTTATTTAATTTTTTTTTTAAAATTTATTATAGCAAAGGGCATATTGCTCTTAATCTTCCTCAAGATTCTCCCCCTCACTTCACACACACTTGTCCAACCACTCTTGCCACTTTCTGAAGCACTTCTGGAAGTCCTCTTTCATGAGTGTCTTTAGTCTTGCTGTCCTGGCAACCCTGATGTCCCGAATTCAAAGAGTTTATCTTTCATGGTGATGAAGAAAGATTTCACCACCAGGAGTGAGGTTGTTGCTGGAATGCTACCTGTCCATGTGGCTTAGAAGGCTTTGGAAGTGGTTCGTGGGAGGATTTTGGAAAGGTCTGGAGATGCATACTGGAGAAGCCCTAGAACGTTGCAAGCAGGGCTTGATAGGGGATTCTGGTTGGAGCTCAGAAGACCAGCGTGCTTATAGATATGCAAGCAGTGAAGGCCAGGCTCAGGAAGTCTCCATTGGGTATAAGGACTCTATTGGCAGGCCATATGTGTTATGTTCTATCAGAAAATTTATCTACATTTTGCTCCTGTCCTGAGACTTTGTGAGGGACTGAGATCAAGGGTGGCAGAGGAACTTTCAAGGTAGCCCTGTGTTGAAACTGTGGTATAGATACTGCTTGGGCTTTTAGCCAGTTCTGTGTTGAGAATCAAAAGCAAACATCATAGCAAAAGTGAATGATTGCGGGGCTGGGGATTTAGCTCAGCGGCAAAAGCGCCTGCCTGGCAAGCGCAAGGTCGTGAGTTCGGTTCCCGGTACCGGAGAAAAACCAAAAATCCAAAAAAAAAAAAAAAAAAAAAAAAGTGAATGATTGCTTGGAAAGAGAGTCCCAGGGCTCCAGAACCACCTAGGGAATTTGCTCCCTGGGATCCTGTTCACAGTGCTCATCCATCCAGACATTCACAGGCCTTTACAGCTATAATCCAACGGGGCCTGGCTACTGCTCCAGCTGGCAGCAGACCTTGGCATCATACATGTGGTGCTGGTTTTACAGGCATCCAGAATGTAAGCGTTTTGGGATCAGGAAGGCTTCTCCTCAGATTTCTGAAATCCTGGGAGACGGGGCAGTGTGCTGAAACGGTGAGGGCAGAGCATGAAACCGTGAGTGTGAAGCCAACAGTGCAGTGGAGACCCCGGGAAGTTGGAGAAGCTGGGAATGTGGAGCATCTGAGCAAAGCCATGAGGAAGCACAAAGCCGGTGCAAGAGCCCTGTGGCTTCCTCCTCCGTCCCCACCCTTCCTCCAACAAGAGCTCTCACACACGCCGTTCTCATAAATGACTTTACTTCTTCATCATTTTTGTTGACAGTGCACATACGCAAAGGCAAGCATGACTCTCAGAAGGCATCAGAGATATTGTCCTATCAGCCTTATTTTCTTAAACCTCTAAAATATTTTCATTTATAAAAATTAATTTAAATATAAATATTGACACTAAAGATCAAAATCACTTGGTGACAAAATAATTCTTCTGGAATTATAACATATGCTTATGGTTTTTAAATAGTAAATTAAATCTTTGCACTTATTTGGCACAAGGAAACCTTTATAAAAATTCAAATGCCACAGAGCAGGCTTCTTTTTTCTTTTTTGCAAGGCTTACACAGTACACATCTTTTGTCAAGGACACTGAGTATTTTAACACTGTGACACAGCATCAGCTGCTTCTCATGCTTCTTAAAGAAAACGTTCTGTTTGGAAGTCAAATCTTTTTTTGTTGTGTTTTTAAAACAAGTGTTTTGTTTTGCTTTGCTTTGAATCACACCAACAGAACACAAAAGCCGAAGGTTTACTTGCTCAGGAGTCACTTCGGCAGGGGCACACGTACACAGCGGGAGCAAGAAGCATTCTCGGCAGATGGGCAGACCTGGAGAACGTAACTCACACACTGGCAGCAGCTCAGGTCTGGGGGTGCACGGGGGGCAAAACAACAGGGTCTGGAAGCAAAGCCAGGCTTTTGTGCCTTTTTTGTGAGGCAACCCAGCTCGCTGAGCTCACAGGTGTGGCACCAGGAGAAACTGACCGCTCAGGGCTTTGGTTTTCAAATCTGAGAAGTGGGTTTACCTGCTGGGAGGGTTGAGGATCAAAGCGAGAACGCTGCCACCTTCTGGCTGTACCTGATCAGCACGACTCCCTGTTCCTTTGCCCCTTCTCTGCCTTCTTCAGAGTTACAGCCTATCCCGAGCAAGCGTTTAAAAATGTTGCTAACACCCAATTAATGGAGTGAACACACTCCCTCCTCACGCATCTGAGCCGGTGCACAGACCACACCGTCCTTCCGTGGGCCCCGTACGTCCACAGGGTCCTTGTTTCTCCCTACCTGTAGGATTTTGAGGGGTACTATTCCTTTTCTACTTTTGTCTTGAAGGTATTTTGCTACCTTGCCGATTACTAGCTGAGACATAATTTTGGAGGATAAACTGTTCTCACGTTGGTTCTGTGCTGTTTACCCGACCCCCTTTAGGTGTGGTCACAGCTACATGGACTCGCCGTGGTGACTCCCGACGGGGCCCTCAGGAAGGGCTAATGGCGGTGTCCTCGCACCCTGTCCCAAGCCCTGCAAGAGCCTGAACCTCCGCGGGACGTGTTTCGGCCGGGCCTGGGCAGGCGTGGGTGAGTTGGGCCTTCAGTCCCAGCTGAAACTGGGAGCGGTGAAGCGAGCCACGCGGCACTCACAGCCCGAGGGCGACAGCTGAGCGTGGGCTGCTGGTCACCCGGCCCTGGGCTCGGCACAGGGGCCTCCTCACTCTCCCTGGCATCTGTTAGAGCAAGCTGTCTGCGGCCAATCAGTAAGCACTGGGGATGAGTTAAGTGGCAGTGCCTGCTCCCTCCCCTCCAACAACTTTCCAGGGGACAGTCATGGACGCAGAATTCTACCGAACCAAAGGATAAAAGAAAGAAGATTTCAAAGACAACACAGCAGCGAAGCAGACAGTGAAGAGACACCTCTCCGATGGAGCGCATGGTGGAGGCCAGCGCCGGTGCCGGGCTGGATCCAGAGCCTGGGGCTGAGCGGCAGACAGCAGCCTGGGTCCGCAGCGGCCTTCGGCGAGGGGTTGAAGCCCTGCGTTGCCTCACTGTGGCCTCCTGGGCCTCTCCCGGGAGGGCTCGTGGCTGTTGGTCAAGGCACTGTCGTGTAGGCCGGGCAGTGGTCACTGGCAGTGTGCTCCATGGCGTCAGTACATCCCAGCGGACTCTAGGGCCGGCTCCTGCGGGTGACATCGAGCACCGCCCTGAGCTACTGTGCACGTGGGTCCCCTCTGGCACTGTGGTCCCAGGAAAGAGCTCTACTCTGCCTGTGTTTAATGCATCGAGCTTTCCTGTCTGAGTTGGGATAAAGTCAATTTTTTTAAGTGGTCCACTGATGCTTAGAAAGTGGATAATCTGTAAAGCGTAGTCAGACATTTTAACCAACGTTTAATAATTACACCGCTCAGTTCTCTAACTGGCGTTTACTTCTGGTGCACATGGGCCGCCAAAGGCTGAAAGGGGTTGAAAGTCACACAGTAAATGGTGCTGCTCCACCAGGGCCGGGTCAACCAGGTGCCTGGCTCGGAATGAAAAGGCTCCAGGCCTTCCCTGACGCTCCCTGTCCTGAATTCTGCGTTACCTGAAAGAGGTGTTCCCGCTCCTTCTCTTCCCGCTTTTGCGTATTACACACCGCGCGCCTCCCGTCTGAGCCTCCCTGCGGCATCGCCGCCCCCTCTGTGCTGCACCAGCCGGGGCGGACGCCCGCCCCTCCTCCCCGGAGTCTCAGGCGGTGCCCCCCTCGCTCCTGCTGGTTCTGGGTCTTTCGACGTGACCCCCGGTTTGTGTGAATCACCTGCTGCCTCACCCTTTGCCACACTGAGGGGCAGCTGCTGCCCCTTTTCAGGAAGGCAGGTAACTGGCTAACAAGGAATTTAAGAAAGTGAATACGGACCAAAGACAGAACAACAACTCTTACACCTCAGCCAGACCTTACGTCCCCATGTGCGTATTTCTTGGTTCTCGTTTGTCAAACCTGGTTTCCACGAGGAGCTGGAAGTAGTGGCTACACCCACGTTAGAGAGGCCAGCAATACCACACAGGGTCCCCCTTGTCCTGGCTGGCCCTGACCACACCAAACCCCACAGACCTGAGCCCCGTGAGGGAGGGACGCTCCTTGGGGTGCTGCTGGGGGACCGCAGAGGAAAGGCTGCGGCGCCTCCAGAGGCGCCATCAAGAGCGAAGGGCAGAGGGGGCGTTTACCATCAGATCCCGCACGCCGCTCTCTGTGGGCCTGCTGGTCGAGGCGCCTTGGAGGAGGAAGTTGCGGTTGAATGTTTTAGTGGGGGTCACTGAGGATGCTTCAGTTTTTTCAGCTAAAAGGAAACAGGCGGGAGTAAGTGTTACCCAGAATACAGACCAGCTGGTAAGGAAGCGGACGGGTGGGCTGGTACCCACATTCTTGACCTGGACTTATTATTTCACTCCTGTACATGGGCTGACTGTAGATTCTATTTTGTGTTTATTTTTATGATGGAACAAATATATCAGGGCATGGTTGGTAGCTTTCTGGGAAAAGGTAACTCGGAGTCTATGAATTCTTATTTGCAATCCTGAAATATAAAAGGGCCCCAAACTTGTGTATTCTTATAAGTTTGGAGCTAAATCATCTGATTGCAAACTCTGATCCAGGTGATCCACGGCCTCTGAAGTCCCTGCCCATCTCGGCAGAGTGGACGCTCTCAGACCGCTGCACAAGGGTGCTTGTGCTTGGTGACCAGAGAGGCCCAGACACCCCTCAGGGGCTTAGGGGGCACACAGTCCATTCCCCTGCACTGTGCCTGGCAGTGGCGGACCCCACACGGATCCAAGGCTTCCAGGGAAGGACTGCGTGTGTAGGGTTTTGTAGAACAGAAGCATTCAATAAATGCTGACCGAGTGCCAGATGGCGAAACCGAGGCTCGAACCGCACCTCCCGACTCGCTCCTGCGCTGACCCAGGAAGCTAAATCTCAAGTGTGGCGTCAGCATCACTGGCTCCTGAATCTAAGGACGCTGTTGACAGTGTCCTCTGGATGAGGAGACCCTGCCTGGTGTCCTGTCCTCCCGTCCCTGGCAGCTGCCAATCCAACAGGCAGCGATCTCAGCCCGAGCCGGGTGGGACTTAAGGTCAAACACCCGGCCCCCAGCCGATGGCGGAAACCCTGAGATGCAGTCAACACTGCCTCCCAGAGGTCCCCAGGAGGGTTTGCTTCCCAGAGAAGAGCCCGAGGGAAAGGACTCTGCACCGGCTTAGCAATGTCTCTCCTCCGCTGCCTCATTTCTCTCCTCCCCTTCCATGCTTCCTGGAGTCGCCTCCCAAGCGAGCTGTGGGCACTCCCGTCCTTGTCCCAGGGCCTCCTGCTGGGGTCCCCAGTCAGGACGGGCAAGGACAGCTCTGGGTGCACACTTCCCTCCAACTATCGGGTCTCCAGCCTCGGATCTCTGTTACTGCACCTCGGTGGTTTGGGTCCAGCTCTGGTTGCCTGCGGTGGTGCTGGCCACTCACCTCTCACGGGTGGGGCAGGCAGCCTCCTCCTCTGCTGCCTGGAGGTGTCTATGGTTTGCACCTGCAAACAACACAGCAGTCAGCGAGCTCTGTCAGCCGAGATACTTTACCCTGTGACTCTCCGGGCCCAAGTTTCCTCAGGGCAGCGAGGGAGCACTCACCTGGCTCCTGCGCCTCTGCTCCCGCTTCCTTGTGAGACGCACACAGGGCGCTATGTTTAAGCCTGCGATGGTCAGGGCTGAAATCCGGCTCTCGATATCCGAAATCTAAAGGCAACAGAAAGACAGGGTCAGCAGGGAGGAAGTGCAGGAGCGGGATCTTGGCTAAAAGTGTTACGGATTCATAAAGAGCAAATCTGCCCGTGTGCTCCTTCCCACGCTCTGTCCAGAGCAGGACGAAAAGGTGACACTTCCCTTTGAAAACCTGATTCTCCTTTGGTGGCTCCAGTGCAGGCCAACAACTTTGTCGCAACAGAGCTGGGTAGGTGGAAACCAGGGGCCACGTGATTAATGGAGTGGAGGAGTGACGAGGGGGTGTTCCCGCTGAGGTCTGAGGTCTCCCCAATGTGCTGGAGGCCAGGGAACCGGTCAGGGCATGGGCACCACCCCGGCAGGGAGTGTCGCGGCTCTCGCTGTGCCCAGTTCGTTCCTGTGATGGGAGCTGTAGGAACGGCAGCCCCGGGCTCCTGTCTCACCACAAGTTTCTGTACCCGACCTCCTGGACGAAGCCGGGGTCAGGCTGGGCTCTACAGGGGCTTCCTAAGCCCACAGTCCTGGTCATGCTCGTGTCCCTGGTCATGCCGCAGAGGACATGCCCATGTCTCGGGAGCAGGGCATTTGTGGGAGGAACCGATTGCAGGCCAGGGAGCCAGCGAGAACTGGAGGCGGCCCGTCCTTTTCTTAACCACCCCCGGACCATCGGCTCAGGGGTCACGGGAACGGCCAATCCTTTCTGAGGGCAGCTGCTCTTGCGACCTAGGAACCCCACAAAGCCCCACCTCCCCGGGTTCCACACCGCCACACAGGGCCACACGCTGGCCCTGGACCTCCGGGGGATGCAGTGGAGCAGTGTCCAGGGGCACTGCCTGGGCCTTTGTGTGTGAGCTCCGCCTTTCAGCGCCATCTGCCGTGGCACGCCCTCCAGGGCCCAGGCAGAGCGGGCTGCCCGGGCCTGGGCTTTAGTCCCGAGTCCTTGAGCAGCTGCTCTTATCCAGGCTCAACCCTGCTGCTTTACTGTAGGAACCGAAAACAGTGACAGCGTTCCATGCGCTGCCCCGGAGTGGGGCCTGAAGGGCACACGTGCTTTATGCACCCTGCCTTCTTCTCCCCGACTCTGCCCACGCCTGCTGCCACGGGGTACGGAGCCAGGCTCGGGCGCCCCATTTGAGTTCATCTCTTCACTCAGTGGCCTTGGAAGTCTCCCTCCTTCCTCTGGGCATCCGCGTTCTCGTATGAGAGCAGGGAGGGCAGCGAGCCCACACTCTCCCACAGTCTGGTGTGGATGGCACACAGGCAGCCTGGGCCGACCTGGCGGTGAGCGACAGCAGTCTTGGTCTTGGGAGGGAGGTACACCCTGTGCCGGGTGCACACTCCGTGCTTTGAATGTGCGAGCCCGTCGGCCACGGCATGACCCCACGAGCAGTCTCACGAAGACGCTGTGGCTCAGAGTGGGGGCCATGCCCGACACCTCATAGCTGGTGCCAGGCTCTTTGTTGCACTGCTGTGTTCTCAGGGACTTGCCACCACCTGGTACCATGCAGGGTGGGGTGTGAGAGGCAGGACAGGGAGCAGAGTGACAGGGGAGGTGGATGCAGCTCCTGCTGAGGCGGAACAGCCTGAGGGTCCTGGAACCCACACAGGCCACCCGGCAGCCAGGCCACTGCTGCCTCCTGCTGGCACACTGCCCCAGCAACACCGGCCCTCTGCTGCCTGCTGAGCGCTTCTCCGCGCAGAGTCTGCAGGGATGGGGCTGTCAGAGGTGCATGAAGGGTTAGACCCAGAAGTCCCCAGAGCCTCTCGTGCTCCGAGGAGGGCCTTGTCCAAGGAGCCTGGGTCGCGCTGACTTGCAGTCAGGAGGTGGAGTCTGGCAGAGGCAGCCCCTGGGCCGTGGCCGGAGGGTCCCTCCCTTCCCTCTCTGCCATGGTGTGCGCAGCGCTCCTCCGCCAGACCCTTCTGCCATGGCTTCCTGCCTGTGGTCGGCCAAATGGGAGCCAAAATGCACTTCTCCCTCTCTCAGTTGTGGGTCGGGTGTGCGCTCCCGGCCACAGGAAGTGACTAAGGCAAGGTGCACAGAGACGGCTTGAAGGCCGGCATGGGTGGGAGCTGCTTCAGTGCTGAGAGGGGCCTCAGTCAGCAGAGGAGGAGGGGGAGGAGGCAGCAGTGAGAGACAGCGCGGCCGCCCCGGAGCCGCCGGGCGAGGCTGGGGCCCCGTGCTGCTCTGCTCTGACCCGACACCTCGCGCGCGGTGCGTTCTTCTGGTTTACACACAGGGCCTCCAGGAGCCTCTGAGGAAAGCTGCAGGCCGGCTGCCTTCAGCTGCTTGCGACTGCTGTGGACTCACTGCCGTCCCGCCGGGAACAGCTCCGATGCCGGGCCTTGCTCAGGAGAAGGGCGGGAGGGAGAGCGACGGCTGACCTCCCCTCCCCTCCTGTCGGCGGGTGTCAGGTTCTGAGCGAGATGCATCGACTTTTCAAGTTTTAGTCCACAGAGGAAGGACCAAGAGAAGAAAGGACTACTGAGGGCCAGGTCTGCCTACATTCACTGTATCTATATCTATCTGTATCTGTCTGTCTCTCTATCTTCTATCGTCTATCTACTATCATCTCTCTATCTATTGATCTATCTATCTATCTATTCCCTACCTGCCCAAGAGTAACTGCCCCGTGACCTCCCTAAGACGCGTGCCTGAGCTTATGCTGATGGGGACGACTGAGTCACCTCTTGGGTTTCCTGGGCATCAGAGCAAACAGCTCGGCACCAGGCTCTGCTCCAAAGCTAAGGAGCAGGGGCTCACATGAGCAACTTCTCCTGATGCAGAGAGCCAGGCAGACTCCTCACAGGCATGTGGGGAGAGCACCCGACACGTGCAGCGGCCAGCATGCCCTGTGCCGTCATCTCGGCCTGTGGCAGGGCTGTGCCCTGCTGTGCTGAGGCAGATTCTGAGCCCAGCATCTGCGGCTCCTGGCGATGCGCTGTGTCCACGTCCTCCCCGGGGCCCTGCACCCTGCAGGGCTCTCTGCCTGAGCAGGGCCGGGGAGCGGAGCCCCTGTTCTGCCAGCACCTGTGGGTGGAGGGGTCCACACTCCCGGCTGCCCGCCTGGCCAGCCTCAGCGCTGCAGGCTGGCACCTCCTGTGCACACCGCACACTCCTGGGCACAGGTGTCCAAATCTCGTGCCACTACTTCCTGGCATTTGACCTTGTGCCAGTGGCTCAACCTTTTGCCACCTCCGTTCCCTCAGATAAAAAAATGGGGATTAGAAAAGTTGCCGCTTCCTGGGGATGCTGAAAAGACATCAGCATTACGAGGCAAACCCTTAGGGACAGCTCCCGGCAGGAAGTAAATTTCGAGGAGCACTGGCATTACCCACACTACTGGGACGCTTGGAAATTAATAATAAAGTACTAGATACATTCAAACACAGAGAAAATGGACATTTGAGACCCCACAGTTTTGTGCTACAAACTATGGCTCCAATAATTTAAGCCTAGAAAAATTTGGAAGCAGAAATAACTAATTATCTAATAAAACCCCCTACACACTCACAAATAATACAATATCCTGCCGTGCCATCCAGGGATGATTTGCTATACAATGCACCAGAACATAAATGACTGGATTCCACTCTACATAACTTTCACAATAAATTTACTAAATCTCAGGCAACATTCACAGAAAATGATGTTTTGAGTAAAGTTGCTTTTTAGCTATTCTAGCTGATAATGAATAGTCAACAAGGCCATCTGTGATGAGCCCAGCCCTAGGGCATTAACCATGCCAGCTGTGGCTGTGATTTTTGGCTATTTAAAACCATAATCATAATCATAATTGTGTAGGTCATCCCTGTCTCTATGCAGAAATGGCCCCAAAGATGTAGTTTTAAAATGCAAGGTATACGAAATAGAAGTGTGACTGAAAAATATGGTGAATGTGTAAAAAATTTTACAGTAAAAGACACATTGTCATCAATCCCCCTCGGAATCCTCCTTCCTGCTTTGAACACTCTTTGTTTGAGACAAGGTCTTGCTGTGCAGTTCAGGCTGGCCTTGAACTCATTATGAAACCCAGGCTAGCTCTGCACTCGAAGAAATCCTCCTGCCTCAGCCTCCTGAGTGCTGGGATTACAGGTGTGGCTACCATGCAGGAGCTTCAAACACTCTTATCCCATCGTTCTCACCACTTCTGCAGCAGCTCTGGAGTCCTCTTTCCTGAGGGTCTGCAGGTGGGCTGTCCTGGGCACCAGGATGTCCTGAATAGATTAAAAGCCTTTTGCTTTCACCGTCATTTTGACCTTGGGGAGGAGCCAGAAGTTTATGTGCTGGATCGGGTGATCGAGGTGGATGAGGATATCGTCTTGCTTTCACGGGTGCCTCCCTGTTGGGTGGCGCTCAGCAGCAGCAGTCACTATTTCAGGTCACCGGGTAAAGACACGAGTGTCCCTAGCGCGTGTCAGGTAGGTGAGCGGCGCTGGAGTCTGCGCTGAGTGAGACGGCCACAGTCCCCTCCTCACGGAGTTTCTCGGCCACGGTGGGCAAACCGGCACGGAGTTATCGACAGTGCGGCCGGGGCCAGAGGACAGTCTGGAGGCTGACAGCAAGGCGGCCTCGGTGTGGGGCAGGTCTTTGGTCGGGGAGGAAACTACCTAAGGTTTTAGAGAAGCCCGGTGCGCTGTGGAAGCTGTCGTTCAAAAGAGACGGCCGTGCTCCCAGGGGGCGCACACCGGAGGGCACGACCGGCGGCGGCGTGCAGCCGCCCTTACCTGCAGCTCCGCGTGGTGCACCTGCGCAGCGGCTGTGGCCACCTGGTCCTCCAGCTGCGCCAGCTCGGCGTCCTGGGTGCCGCTGTGGATGCTGCGGGCGGCGTCCTCCAGCTCGGTGAGCTGGCCCTCCAGCCCGTACACCGTTCCGGCCGCCAGGTACACCTGGGGAGAGAGGCGGCCGCTCAGCTGCGCACACCTCCAGCCTGGTGCGCAGGGCCCGGGAAGCAGGCAGCCAGGGAGGAGGGGTCACGGGAGCCGGCCGCACTCACTTCCCCACCTTCCTTCAAGGAGAAGCAGTGTGTGAGCTGCCCGTGGCAAAACCCAGGGCACACACACGAGCTCGGACAGGTGCGGACCTGCCCAGGGACTGACAGCAAGGAGCACGGAGAAACCAGCAGGCGAGCTCATGGCGGGGCTTTCCCAGTAAAAGCTCTGGTCGGCATTTAGTCGTTGGGAAAAATTCAGAAATCGCGAAAGGGGTGAGTTAGCTAAAAAATTATTACAATTTTGAGCAAATCATCTCTAATTAATGACTTTTCGCCTGTTTAAAAAGAGGTAAAGGAATTCAAAAGAGCTTGAAATTTAGAGAAGGAAAACACTTCCTTAGGAAAAGCATGATGTCAGGAGAAAGATGGGAAATCTGTGTCAGTCAGGGTAATTTTTTGAGAGCTACTGACAATCAGAGTAAATCGGAGTAATTTGAAATAGAAGACCTTTATTGTGGTACTGAGGACCCAACCCAGGGCCTTTGCACTGTACTACATCCCCAACCCTTTTCTTATTTTGTACTTTGAGACAAGGTCACTAAGTTGCCCTGGCTGGGCTTGAACTTGCGATCCTCCTGCCTCAGGCTCCCAAAGTGCTGGGATGACAGGTGTGAGCCACCACGCCCAGCTGGGATACATTTTGACAGCAGGGTAGGAGTGAGTTTGCAAGTTTCCTCAGCCTCCTCAGTAACGTGACGGAACAGCCCACGCAAGGAACACGGTGCGTCCACAGAGGGCAGCTGCTGCCAGACGGGTCTCAGTGTGCACGGGCACACATGGCCCGGCCCCCGGCAGTGGCTGTAACTGGAGTTAAACCCAGGAGAGCTGGGCCGGGCCAGGGGCCCGTGCACACCAGCCACACGCATCTTTGCGCGGGTGAGGCCGAATGTGTGTGGGGGGGAGGAAGAGGGGGACCCGCGCTGGCGGTCCTGTGGCCCCTCCCACCACCTGCTCCCCTGGGTGACTCGGCCACGCGGGGCCTGCGCCCCTGTCTGCAGCAGCTCGGCTCTGTGTTGCGCCCTCCACCCGAGCTGAGCGGCGGAGAAACTGCCAGGTTCTTCACTGTCTGCCAGGTTCGTCCGCGAGCAGGGGCGTTCAGCGTCTCGCTTCCCTGCACATGCCGTCAGTGGTGAGCGCGACGCGGCAGTTTCCCTAGACGCGGGATGCGTAAGTTCTTGAGGAAAGGCAGCACGGTACTCAAGTTCTTTTAAATGTATTAGCATTTTTGAAGAAAAAACTTGAGGAGACAGAAATAAGAGCATTTTAGAGTTTATCATACTTTTTTAAATGCCTTTTCCTCTCCACATTTAAAAGAGATAAATGTAGTTTAAATGTATGCTTCAAAATATAAGTTTGGTTGCTTCGACAATGAAACAAAATTTGACTTGAATCATCTGGGGGTGGGGAGCAGAAGCATGGCTTGATCTTGGATCCTCATTTCACAAAAACAGAGCCTGGTGCCAGCCCTCGAGACCATCCACCGGCTGCCGCCTGCATTTCCAACACGGTTTTCTGCCGAGCTCCCTGAATGCCGGGAAAGGCCAGGGTCTCGTCTTTTCCTCTGTCCCCTCGAAGCCCGCCCTCCTGCAGAGGTCAGAGGTCTGGAGCTCACAGGCTGGCACCGGGCAGGTGGAGGCTGAGGAGGAGGGGACGGCAGCTTTCTGAGCCCAGGTTTCTGTGACTCGATGTGTGGGCACTCCGCACGGGCAGCAGTGCGGTCCCTGTGCCCAAGCTGGGAAGGTTCTCCGTCCTGGGAAGGTCCTGCGACTTCCCTGTCTGCGCTGGGAGGAGAGGACCCTGAGCGTGAGCTGGGAGTGATACCGGGTCCCCTCCCGGGGACGCTGGCTTCTTGGTGCCAGCTGGAGGTCATGGTGTCTCAGTGCTCACACTTTAGCACAGAGCTACAACCAGAGCTGCTGCGGTGGACGGGGCGTTCGACACTGGCTCTGCGCTGGCTGGAAGCTAGTGGGTGCCGCAGGGTGGACACATGCTCTGGCTCCACAGCCACCCTGAGAGGCGTCCATGCCGCTGTGTGCCTAGCACAGGTCCTCTCTGGGGCAGAACCGCGGTCACCCTGCCTGTGAAGCCCGTGGCTCCTTCAGGCCCTGTGACCACAGACGGCTGAGGAGCTCGTGGGGGGACAGGCGGTGCGAGGAGGGCTCCGTGTCAGTCTCCCTTGGGAAGAGCAAGACCGGCCTTTGGTGCTGCAGGAGCCGTGGACCTTGGCCTTCCTCGGAGGAGCTGGGAGTTTCGAGCCCCTCTGACCTAGAAGCGTCCTGCGGCGTGGCCTCTGGGAGATGCGCTTTGTGGACAAGTGAGGCCGTGGCCGACAGCCCCCCACCCAGTCTGCGAATGGTCCGCTGCACTCTGTCCTCAGCCCTGTCCGCCTTTGCTCCCTGTGGGACGGGCCTAGGGCGGCTCCTTCAGCTGGTCAGGATACCAGCAGGAGGTTAAGGTGGGGAGTGAGCCGGGCTGGTGGCACATGTCTGTCACTTCAGCACTCTGGGAGGCTGGGGCAGGAGGACTGCAAGTTCAAGCCCAGCCTGAGCAACTTAGAGAGACCCTGTCTCAAAATAAAAAGGGCTGGGGATGCAGGTCAGTGCAAGAGTCCTGGGTCCAGTACCCCGTATGGTTTAAACAAAGGCAGGGGTAGAAAGCCATTAGGAGCGTTCCTTTCGCTCCTCTCCTTGCCAGGTTGTGGCCCCCACAGGGTCTCTTCAGGGCGCCAGTGTTCTGTGGCTCAGGTCCACAGGTGAGGACACAGTTCTCCAGGGCAGCTGTCCCGATGGGGCCCTCCCTTCACCTGCCACCCAGGGTGACCGGCGGGCCGCGACATCCGCGCCTCCCCAGCCTAACTCCGGCAGGGCTTTTGCCTTAGGAGAGCTCTGCGTGGGGACTGAGCCCCCTGCGCCAGGCACCGATCTTTCCTGTGCCTGGCAAGGACAAGGGCGGCGCAGGCGGCGGGGAGGTGGCGGGCCTGTATCTGAGGGCGCACAGCTGGCTGTGGAAATGGGTTGGGCCTGTGGGGGGCTGTTCTGCGTTTAATCTCCTGCGGCCCTGAAAGCCTAGGTGTGATTTTCGAGGTGAGCATTCTCGTCACACCGAGTCCGGGCCCGCGGGAGCCCTGTCCAGAGGCAGAGTCACGCGCGGTTCCTCTTTCCCACCACAGCGGCGCTGCCTACAGCCCAACCCACTGAGCGGCTTTGCACAGAACCAGCTGCACCAGAGCCGCTTTCAGAGCCAGCCCCGCCCCGCCCCTGCTCAGGACAGCAGCACGCACCGTGCCCAGGGCCCTGTGACTGGAGTCAAGGAAGGAAGTTCCCTCGGTCCCAGCTAGACACCCACAGCACCCCAGCGCACGGAGAAGCTGCTCTGAGGTGCAGCTTGAGCCGGCTGTCACTTGGGACAGGCAGGGCGGGGGCGCGGGACGGGCGCAGCCTCTGCGGGCCCCACTGGCGCCCAGGTCCTGGCTCCTGGGGGCTGCCGTGAGAGAGTAAACGAGCTCGGCCCCAAATCCTAACATACAGCAGAAGGGCGGCAGGGTGACAGCCCGGCCCTGGCGTTTAACCCCTGTGCCCCACGGCGGTGGGGACAAAGGCACCATCTGCTCTCAGCGTGAGAAGCCACCGCAGCCTCTAAGTCAGGACATCACAGCCATAGCTTCTGCGCTGTCATACTCTGTTGAGAGGAAACGCACTCCCCGAAACCTTTAAGTCTGAGTCCAGAGCAGAAAGACCACGGTCACACTTAACCTTCTCTGAAAAAGGACTCCGTCCACTGATGTCATGGTCCACCAGCACATTCGTGGGGGCCTCCTGCCTGTCCGGGTTGGGTGGGGCTCAGGGCTGGGATCCGCTCAGGGGAAAGCAGCCTGTTTTATGGGAACCTCTACATTTGGGGTCCATCCTGGGCAACTGCCTCTTCCCTGTCCCCCAGTAGTGGATGCTTGGAAGCTGCCACGATTTGGACTGCAGGCTTCCCCGAGGCCAGCTGCTGGCTCTGGGAAGTGACTGGGTCACAAGGGTGCTAACCCATGAGGAGAGTCACCCGTGAAGTGGGGCCCATGGGGTGTGGCCCTGGGACGACGTGTGGTCCCTGTCCCTCCTCTCTCTGCCTCCTGTGCACCCTGAGGCGGTGCGCCGCCGTGAGATCAGCCCGTGAGCTGAGCCCTCTGACACCGCGAGCCTCCTCCGGGCAAGGGGCCTTTCCGTACTCGGCCCGGTCACCTCCGTCTTGGCGTTGCTGTTCCTTGTCTTCCTGAGGCTGAGTGTGCCTCTGTGGTGAGCTTGGGCTGGCATGTGCAGACCCTGGGTTCTACCCCAGCACCAAGAAAAAAAGGTTTTTTCCCATGAATGGAGGAAGAAACTTCTGAGGCCTTTAACAGAAATAACTACTCTCAAATTCTGTCTAGGAGCATAAACTTCACCAAAGTGACTGAAGAGAGGAAAAGTGAGCACGTTAATTAGAATTTGCTTCCAGGTGTGCAGACTCTCCGTAGCAGCCAACTGGCCCGGCCCCTGCTCCTCTGGAGCAGGTTCGGGCCGCTTCCTCCTCTCGTCCATCCTCCCCTGGACAGCCCTGCAGGCCCTGCAACCTGGCAAGGCCTCCTCGGGCAGGAGAGGAGCTGGCACCACAGGGGCCCAGGGCAAAAGCAGAGTCTGGAGGGGGCAACCGAGGCAGGGAGACTCTGGACCACCCTGCCTGCACTTAGTTTTGTTTTGAGAGAGGGTCTCACTATGTAGTTCAGGCAAGCCTTGAACTCACTATGTATCCCAAACTGGCCTTGAACGCACAGTGATCCTCCTGCCTCAGCCTCCTGAGTGCTGTGATTACAAGCATGTGCCACCACACCTGGACTGCACTTAGTGAGACACATGAATTCTGGCAAAGCGCAGGCGCCAGCTGGACCTTCCTTCCCTTTGCTTTCAAACATCTCAAAAGCTGCAAACGCCTTGTCCCAGGGGAAAGAGGAACGAAGGGTGCTGATGGTCAGGGTTAGAGCCACTTTTGGCAGCCCCGTCTCTGGCATCTCTCGAGGGCGCTGTTTCAGAAAGTGTTGATCGTGTGACACACAGTTATCCAACATGTGCAGGGTATTTATTTTGTGCAAGCATTACACAAAAGGTATTTCCAAAGAAGAAATGAAATCTTTGGCCCTTTGTTGAAGATCAAGTGGCTGAATGTGTCTGGGGCCATTTCTGCATCTTCCATTCTGTTCCATTGATCCACATGTCTGTTTTTGTGCCAGTACCGTGCTGTTTTTATCACCGTAGCTTTGCTGTATAGCTTAAAATCAGGTATTGTGATGCCTCCTGCCTTGCTCTTATTTTCTAAGATTGTTTTTGCTATTCTGGGCCTCTTCTGGTTCTATACAAATTTTAGGATTGTTTTCTCTTGTTCTGTAAAGAATGCTATTGGTATTTTGATTGTGATTGCATTAAATATGTGGATCAGTTTTGGGAATATGGTCATTCTGACAATATTGGCTCTGCCTATCCAAGATCTCTTTTTATTTTCTATGTCTTCTGCAGTCTCCTTTTTCAGAGTACTGAAATTTTCACTATAAAGATAGGTGAGATAGCCTGCTCAAAAATAGTGCTATTTTTGTAACCTACTTGTTATCTATTTGTAAAGAATGAATCTATTTGTAAAGAATGAATCTGGACCCATTCTCTCACCATGCACTAAACTAAAATAAAAATGGATCAAAGATCTAAACATTAAAACAGAAATACTGAACATACTAGAAGGCTAAAAGGTAAAACACTTGAAGTCACAGGTGTAGGCAAGGACTTTCTGAACAGAGCCCCAACTGCACAAGAATTAACAGCAAGAATCAGCACACTGGCTCATAGCAAATGAAAAAGCTTCTGCAAAGCACTGGAAACAATCAGTAGAGTGAAGAGACACTCTACAGAATGGGAAAAAATTTTTGCTAGCTGCTCCTCAGACAGAAGACTAATATCTAAAGTATACAAAAAATTAGATCACCCAAAAAAATTAGATCAAAAAAATTAGATCACCCAAAACAAATGACCCAATAAAGAAATGGGCAACTAAAATGAGCAGACACTTCACAGAGGAAGAAGCACAAATGTCCAACAAACATATGAAAAAAACGTTCAATGTGTCTGTCTGGCTATCAGAGAAATGCAATTAAAACAGCACCAAGATTCCACCCTACACCAGTAGGAAAGGGGATCCATCAAGAAGTCAAAGAATAACCTCTGATGGCGTGGTTGCAGTGGAAAGGGAACTCGCCTACAGTGTTGGTGGGAATGTGAACCAGTGCAACTACTATGGAAACCAGTTTGGAGGTTTAGCAGAGAGCTAAAGTCAGAAATTCTACTTGACACAGCCCTTCCCCTTCTGGTATCTCCCCAGAGAGCTAAAGACATCACACTACAGTGACACACACACCAATGTTTACGGCAGCACAGTTCATGAAAGCCCAGTCCCAGAAGGAGCCCGCACGCCCAGCGACAGACGCGTGGATTAAGAAAACGTGGTCTCTGTACATAATGCAGTCCCACTCAGGTGCAAAGAAGGGTACATTCAAGGCCTCTGAAGGAAAACGGGTGCACCTGGAAAATATGACGTGGAGTGCAACAGGTCAACGGGTCAGACACACAAGCTTAATGACCATATGGCATTTCTCATCTGACTAAAGCAAAGTACCGACAAAGAGCAAAATAAGCATGGACAGAAGGAAACAAGGAACTAGAGCTCCTGCAGACAGGAAGGGTCCAAGAGGAGGAAAGTAGGCAGAACGAGGATGCGCCGTGCACAGGGATCTGCTGGCCTCAGTGACCGCGAACACTGCGTCACCAACACGAGCTAAGGCTAAAACAACAAGAGCGAGATGGGGTTCAGAGGTGGCGGGAGGGAGGGTATGAAGGGAAGGGGCTTAAGAGGAGAGCCAGGCTGGGTTATGCCCGTGCACCTGCTCCCCAAGAAGAACGCAAGCCCCATGGACTGCAAACACATCCTAATAATGTCTTAACATAACTTCCCGGCTGTGTAATGGTACGTGTTTTCCTCTTGCTGGGCCGGGGTGCGGGAGCAGGGGCTAGCGCTGCGGTGTGCGAGAGGCAGCAGCGTCTGGGTCCACCTGTGGTCTTAGGATGGGGGCAGAGCAGCAGGATGACCACTGCGGAGCTTGGCAAGGAGGGCGGTAGCTCTCTGGTGGAGGTGGGTGTGGGGGCTGGGTAGTTCGTTGGTGTCTTGGGGACACGGCAGGCGCAGGGCGGTGCTGAGGTCCTGTGGACTCCTGGTCCCTTCCCCGAAGGAGGCGGGCCGCCTCCTCACAGGTCCTTCGCCCCCACAAACACCCTTGCTAACTGCCAGCCAACACTGAGCCTTTCCCCAGCCCATCTGCACGCTTCTTTATAAACCCGCTCTGTCCAGAGAGCTCTGCTCGGCTGGCTCAGCCAGAGTCCCTGTCCTCGCGTGACGTCCTCCGGATCTGCTGGGCTCCGCCTGCCCTGCTCCCGAGCTGTGCGCAGAGCCAGCTCCTCAGCACCCGCCCTGCTGGGTTTGTGTGGCCAGACCCCTCCGACGGTTTCCCCACCCTGGTGTTTACTCCTTGCAGTAGGGGCTGGGGATTTAGTTCAGCGGCACAGTGCCTGCCTGGCAAGTGCAAGGTCGTGAGTTTGGTTCCCAGTACCAGAAAAACAAAACAAAAGCAGAAACTCCTTGCAGTGTTTCCCACCCGCCAAGCCTCACCATCCCTGCGCTCTCAGCCCATGCAGGGTCCTTGTGCTGGCCCCGTGCCCAACACAATGGGCCCGAGCAAAGTCGCCCTGGCTGCATGGTGCAACTGCTGGTGTCACTGTACTACCGCACACCGCTGTGCCGGGCTGCAGCTACACTTGTTTCCTACAGGGAGCGTCCTGTGGGGGACACTCGGCGGCACAGTCATTGAAGTCCCTGCTGGCCGAGGAGGGCCAGTTCCTGGCCTGGGTCAGGACAGACTCCCAGCCTAGCCCTAACCCTGCCTGGCTCCTCCCTCCGCCTTCCCTCCCCACTCCCTCCTACGAACGGCCCACGTCTCAGCTGCTGGTCTCAGACCCTGGTCCCAGGCTGTTCCGGGGCTCTGAATACACACTGGCTACAGTGGCCATGGAGGCACATCCTCCCACTTCGTGGCCATCCACAGCATCCCCCTTGCTGGCCACATCCGCCCCTTACGTTCTCCTCCAGGGAGGTCAGCTGCTCCTCCAGCCTTGCCCGGTCAGTCCCGAGAGGAAACGTCTGCTCCTCTCTGTCAGCAGGGACTGGCGGGAGCTCCCAGGGCCCCGTGGACTCTGCGATCAGCTCCTCCGTGGCAGTGATGACTTTCAGGACTTCTGTGGAGATGTTGCAGAGAGAAACAGCAGAAAACTTCTGTTTGGTCCAACAACAGAAGGGGACAGAAGACAAGAACAGCACATTAACAACGACACAGAAACCCGGTCACCACGGCGCTCACGGGGAGCCTGACTGTCACAGCACAGACACCAGGCGCGGAGGGGACGCAAGCGCGGAAAGTGAGAGCCGGTCCCTCCTGGCCTGAGGGGCAGGACGCTCAGGCAGGAGCTGTCCTTCCCTGTCCCCACCCTGGGGCTGGGTGTGCTCTACCCCCCTGCGCAGTCAGCCACGGCCACGGTGGTCCCCACGGCCGCTTCCTCTGGCACTGGGAGCCTGGTCCAGGAGCCCCCTCTGTCACCACACTCAGTGCCGAGGACTGAGCTGGGGAGGGTGCTGGCCATGTGTCCTCAGTGTCTCTAGTGGACACTGTGCTTGTCCTTGCCTGTCCTCGCCGTTCACCCCTCCCGGCCTCCCTGAGGCTCAGTGGTCTCTGCAGAAGCTTTGCCTTCCAGCCAGGGGAAACAGACGCGGCTGACTCCTACCCCAATGTACCAGGAACAGGGAGGGATGCGCAGCACCACCCGCCTAGAAGGCCTCCTCAGGAAGACCCCTCTCCAAGAGCCCGGGCTCCTGGCCGAGTGAGCTCCTGACCCCAGGGTGCCGTGGCCTCTGCATTCCTGGCCCAGGGCTATGACCATCTGAGGTCTCCGGGGTGGAGGCGCAGCGGGCACAGGACCACCGCCGCCCGAGTTCCTGCGGACACCGAGCGCCAGGCCCGGGGCCGGGCTCAGGGTCGCTGGCCCGCACAGCTCCTGTCCCCTACAGCTGTACTTCTCCCACCGTGGGGCTCGTGAGCCAGAAGCCGGACATTGCCCTCAGGCCTTCTGTTTACCAGGAAAGTGATCCTGGGGAGTCCAGGGTTTGAGCTGCTGGGAGACAGGCCCTGTGCAGGGCCACCTGACTCACGTGTCCTCAGAACCCAAAGCATTAACTGTGGCTACAGCTGGAATTTTGCAAAACGCGTTCCTCCAAGTGGCTTCTGTGTGGCTTTTGTCTCAAGGAGAATTAGGGAGTCTGAAAGGCTCTGGCCCGGCTTGCATATGTGGGCACCTGGGCCTCCCTGCTGGGTGGGTGGCCTGTCCTGGCTGAGGGCACCAGTGCCCGAGGGCTCCTCCAGCCTGTCGGGCCCTGGTTGATTAAATCTGCTTTATTTGCTTTTTATTTATTTCTATTATTATTATTATTTTAAAGAGAAAAGAACAAAAACAAGGTGACAAAGACAAAACAAAACAACTATGAAAACAATACAGAATTTCAAAACAAGATGATAAAAATCAACAATGGTTGTTGTACTACTTATTGTTATCTTCAAAGTAGTTGCTCAGATTAGTGGATATAGATATGCAAGACTGATCAATTAGACACTAACTTTTCCTTCCAGTAAACCAATAGAAATGAGGAATACAGGGGCTGGGGATTTAGCTCAGTGGCACAGCACCTGCCTGACAAGCCCAAAGTCGTGAGTTCGATTCCCAGTACTGGAGAAAAACAAAAACAAAAACGAAATGAGGAATCCAATTATTTTAGCTATCTTGTGTGTGCGTATAACATCCCTCTTCTTTCAGAAAAGTAGGAAGATGG